TTATGTATTTTCTATGAGTTTTCCTTTTTCTGTTTTCGTAGGATGGATACGGATAAATGGATAGATGGATGGATGGATGGATGGGCGGATAAAGAGCGACACGATGTGTGAGTCACTCTTTATATAAACAATGGCGTTGGCATTTTTGGTCAACTTCTCGCCGCGCAGCTGCTCTGACGGAAAGTCACTTAGCACTTTTCAAAAAATAAAAAAAATCAAAGGGGCTGGGGGCGCCGAAGGGGGTTTTTCTAAATTCTGTAGCAAGAAAGCTAATGAACGACAAAGTCAGAGCAAAAATAACAAAATGAAATAAAGAAAAAGAGTCAACATTTTTCAATTGAATCAGTTGGCCGAGCAAGACGGGGGGCAGCGCAGGCCAAAGAGGCCAAGAAAACAATTGACAGTCAGTCAGTCGGTGCGTTGGAGGAGTGTGTGCAAGCGAGAGAAAGATTGGATACCGAAAGAAAGAGAGGTGCATAGTCTGGGGCTCTGCTGCGCTTCAACAAATCCGGGCTACAAAAACAAACGAAACTCGCCTTAAATCGAAAAGAACTCGTCGGTGTCTGCCGTCGTCTATGTACTTAGGCACAGTGAAGCTTCAAGAAAATGGATCTTTAATTCATCAGATTCTTTATAAATTATTTCAATAAAAGAAATAGCCAAATAAACCCATCAATAAATCCAAAACAAACCTTAATCAGTCTGAAAAACCAAACCAAGTACCATCGAGATATTCACGCTTGACAGGTTCCACTGTACTTTGTGTGTAGCGATGCAATTAATCAGATAGCAAAGCAACCAAAACAACAAAAAACCATCAGCATGAACCTAACCTAACCGTAAATTATCGTTCACTGGCCAGGGCAAGTGCCTGCTGTCCTTGTTATCGCTTTGCATTGCCTTTTTTTCTCTTCTCTTACCTCTCTCTTGGGGAAAAATGTAGAAAACATTTGTAATTTAATTAACCGATTTCCATGCGATTTTGCCTGGGATTTTTATCGCGTTCGCGTTCTAATAGCGTCAGAGTAAGTGATATCACAGTTTTTTCTCGTTAACAAAATATAAACCCTTTGCTCGCTTTGCTAGCTGGAAATCAGCTTTACAAATCCATTAATTGCTTTATATGTACTGTAGGTTTGTATGAATATATATATATATATATATTGTGTGTGTAGTATGCACACAACCCCCTCGTTATTCAAGTGATTAAATGGCAAAGTATTCGCTGACCACTTTGACATAAGAGACATACAGATACAGGGTGAGAAATGGGAATTAAATGGGGCATATTTTAGTATAATTTGTATCTTTTAATGCTATCATAATTTTATAAATAAATAAACTGAATTGCTTTTAAAATATTATGGATTCTTATAGAAAGAGATTTTTTTTCCCCTTCAATATGAAAGAACTGTCTATAATATTAAACAATAGAAATACAGATACAAGATACAATTTTTATTGCTAGAATATTACAAATGGTAAAAGTATATTATTTATTATTTATTGATACGTTTTCGTCAGCTTTTTTGCAAAAATATTTTAAGAATTTTCATTGTCACATTTTTCTAAAAATTTCCTGGTTTCTGACACTGTACAGCCAAATGGGAAACTACAAAATAAAAGTGCATCCAAGAAAACTGTAAATTCAAAGCGATCAAAGAGCAGATGCATTTCTCAAAGGGCACTTATTGCCACATGTGTATGTGTTTCCCGTATCTGTGTGTCCGAGTGCCATTGTGGTGGTGGTGGTGAGGGGAGGGTGCTGCCGCTTGGCAAATGACTAAAATTAAACAAGAAAACGAATTCATCACCGGAATGAAATGCCTCAGAAATTCGTTGAAGGGATGATGACCGCCGTTGATGATGAGAACAACAGAGAGAGAAAAAAAAGGTACAAGTCGAGCGACCAACATGACGAATTGTAGATACAGATACACAGATGAACCCGCAAAGGCAGGGACAAGGGAGGGGGAAGGAAAAACAACAACAACCATGGCCACAATAAAACCAACGAAATAAATTAAATAATATGAAAAGAAACACGCTGCAGAAGAGACGAGATGTAGCGGCGGCGAACACCCCAACAAACAAATGAAAACGAGTCAGCGAACGAACGAGAGCGGCCAAAAAAAGGGGGAGTGTGCCAAAGCGGGGGAGGGGCAGGAACCACAGAAGATGGAGGAGGATGAGGTGACGGTGGCTGGGGGAACTGAGCAATCAGCGAGGAGCGAAGAGTGAACAGCGAAGCGAAAACAACAGACGAAACAAAACTTGACAGATGGACAAGCGGGTCCGAAAGCGGGGTGAAACGGGGGCAAGCCGGCGTACGAAAGAGGAGGAGAAGGTGGTGGAGGAAGGGGCGACACACAGAAATCCAACTAAATATCGAAATCACAAATCCGCAAAGCGAAAAAAAATTATTTGCTGCGATAAAGGTCATAGCCACTGTTTAGATACTCTTATGAAATTTTTTAAAAAACCCATATACGTCATACGATTTTCTACAAACTCCTAAGATCATTATAAAATTGTTTAAAAAAATGCCGTATACCAATTTAGCGTTAATTAAGCCTAATATTAATTATTAAAAAATAGGTAAATGTCAACCAATTTGCTTACAACTTACAAGATCTTTTCCAAGTTCATCCATGATTTTATCCAAATTTTAACTATTAACTTTTAATATGAAAAACTAAGATAATAATTAATATAACCATTTAATCTCAACATTATCAATTTATAACTAAAAACTGCAACACCTTCCTTTAGCAAAGGGTATTCCCCAAAACTAAAATAAATACATGGCCAAAAACAGCGCAAAATTGTATTTTAGAAGCGAATGGGAATTGGACGAACGGCCGGCCGGCCGGACAGACGGATGGACAGTGGAGAGGAATGGCCGCGAGCTAAAACAACAAGATATAATAACACCAACAACTACAACAATAACTGGAGGCCTGAACCAGGCAGCGACGTCGACCGAGCCCAGTGGCAGAAGCAGGCCTCGATTTAACTTGGCCAAAAGCAACAACAAATGCGCCGCGGGAAATATGTACATACAAATTCCATTCGAACAATTGCCAAGAGAGAGAACAGAGACAACGACGGCTTTGGCTCAAATGCGCGGTCAAGCCGCAAAGACCTGAAGCTTAATTGGTTTCGCCACCAAAGGGTTAAGCATTAATATGACGCGATGATCCGAAAGATATTTCCCTCCTTCCACTTTCATTTCCATTTCACATAACAAACGGATTTCACAGACATATCAGAAATGTACTCATACCATCCACTTATTTAATCATTAACTCGTGATGGTGGAGCCAAACGCAATGGATTCTATACTTTTTTGGAGACTTTTTTTTATTATTACAGTGGATCTTGGATTTATAGAAACTAAATCTCTAGCTTGAGTTTCTATAGGAAATTTTATCAGGAACACCCTATATTACTTAGCTTAATAATATCTTAACGGATTTTATAAATCATATTGAAATGTGTAGGAAGTATGTGTATTTCTGTTTATTTATTATTATTTATTGCTTCTGAAATATGAGAACGTTTATGTTTTTGACTTGTTTTTAATCCGTTAAGTTCTCAATTTCACGCGGTTCAAGTCGGTTCGGTCGTCAACTCGGGGTTTAGTTTAGTTTTTGTTTCTTTTTTTCTGATTTCGATTCCAATTCCGAGTTAAGTTGAGTCGGCAGAAAATGAAACAGAAACAGAGAAAAAAAATACAAAAACAAGAACAAAGTAACGCGGCGAGTCATGCACACACACACACACACACACACCACCGTATGTGGTCTGAGGGGGCGCGATGCCAAGGGGAGCTGGATAGGCAGCGCCAAAGTAGCGCAAAAACAAAAACAACAAAGGCCCAAAAGCCGAGACATAAAATAAATGAGCGCCGCCGCACAAAACATGTCTCCAATATTTCGCCGTTCGTTGTTGTTGCTGTTATTGCTTTTTGCTGTGACTGGCCATTACGTTACGGCCCCCATCTCTCTCCAGTCTCCATCTCTTCACCTCCATCTCCCTCCTCCTCATTCCACCATCATTTCGTTTCCCAAGCGTCGCGTCGCCTCGTACCCTCGGCTCTGCATCTCTCTCTTCTGTCGCCGTACTGCTCGCTCTTTGTAATTATTGATACATAAAAATCCAACAACAAAAGCTAAGCTGAAATGCCGGACTGCACAATTGTGGCAATAATAAATCTTATTTATAACGTGAGAAATCTTCAAATGAGGCTCTTGTAAAAAAGCAGTCTTTATCTTATTTTTGTTCTTATCGTTTATTGTCAGTATTGACTATAGTTTATCAATGAATTAAAGGTTCATTTATCAGCACACGTCACAGAATGGGCATTGAAACAACAAGTATAGAACATTTCCAAGAAATCCTAAAGATACTTGCTTTGGGTATTTGTTAGCTTCTCTATTAATCCAAGTTCAGTGCACATTCAATAACTTATGCACTCATTTCACAACATAATAAGATACATTTATGCGCTTTAGCTGTTACCACGTTAAAACTTTATTTATTTATTGATATGATTTTAATTGGCTTTTGTACGGAAATCTACTTAATATTCAACACAAACACAGTGACATTTCTTGCTTTCGTTTTCTTTGATAAATTTGATAAATTGTTGAGCGAAATAAATAAATAATCCAACAAGCTGCTGCCCTTTTTTCTTCTCGTAATCCTTTTTCGTCTCTCCTTTTTTATTCTGGAAGGAAACAAGACGAAGAAGAAGAGCAGCAGCAGCGTGGAGAATAAGGTGGCAAGAATGGACAAAAGAATATGCGCGCACACACACACACACTGCTTCGCTTGGCTGCGTTTGTAGAAGAAGAAGAAACAGAAGCAGAACTTGGCCCAAACGAATTCCGTTTTTGGCCTTTGTATCTGAGTATCTGAGTATCTGTATCTGTATCTGTCGCACTTCCTTTTTTATTTTATTTTGGCTGATTTACTGCTTTACTTTTAGCTCTTACTTTATTATTTACATTTTTTGCATCCGCAAATATTGATACATCAATTTTGGCACGAATGCTTCACACACTTGGACACTCGCACTTTTATAACTCTTTTGCTCGCACTTAGATTCACGCAATTGCTTTATTGCCTTAGCCGTTGCTTCGTTTTATAATTTTTTCTCTTGGGATTTGGGTTTTTTAGGACTTCTTTAGTTTTCAAGTTTTTTACTTGCGCGACCGACGAGTTACCGAACCAAACTAACGACACCGTCAACATTCAACATCAACATTCAACAACGCTGGCAGAGCGGCGGCAGCGCGCTGCGACTGAGGCGTAAGCAGTGACTGAGCGACGCCGGCAGCGCGGCTGTATGGAGACAACTGTGTGCGACTGTGGCTGTAGCTGTTGTTGTTGCTGCTGATTGGGGAGTGGGATCAAAAAGGAGAGTGAGTTGAGCGAGCTAAGAGAGAGCAAAGAGGGCGACGACTGCCGATTACAGTAGAGCCTCGGATACAACAATAACTGAGGAAATGTAAGAATTTGTTCATACTTTCGAAAACTTATGTATTCTCTATCAAGGTTGTTTTATTTATTTTGTAATAAAAACAGATATAAATAATACATTAAGTTATTCTGTTAAATGGTATAAAATTGATAAGTAACTAAAAACAAACCTATCATCTATCACTAATTAAATATTTTCATTTAATATTATAAATAATTACCTCCTAACACCTTTGTCTTTGGTTCAGAGTACCCACTGTATATGAGAAAATGTATTCAGCATTTAACGAACGTGCCCACAGAAAAGGAGCGAGCGGGGGCATCAGCGATGGTTTGATAACGAGGGATTGGGATGCAAGAAGGGCAGGATAATGTTGGGGGCAGGTGGGATAGGGCCACAGTTCTGGCAGCAGGGTGGCAGTCAGGTGAAGGTGTCGTTGTCAGGGGCCAAAGTGGAAAGTAACCAGTGCGAAAGAGCGGGGAGAATCAGCATGGGAATCATCCAGCAGAAGAGTATTTATATTGTTTTATTTTCTTCCTTATTTTCTGTTGCGTTTAATTTTTTTTTTTAATTTGTGCTGGTGGCGGCATTTTTTTGCTTGTTTTTTCTTTCGACCATTTAAGTGCTGGTAATTAAAATCGCTACAATAACTAAATCAGATGAATGGCGTCCTCGGCCGGAAACGGCTTTCCTCACTTTCTTCTCTTACTGCTTGCAAGCGGTTGTTACTGGGGTGGGTCAAAAATTAAAAAAGTAAATTTATAAAAAAAAAAAATATATATATTTGTTAATATATTAATTTTAAATACTGAATTGACAAAAAATTTTACTTGAGTTGAAAAACATTCTGAGAATCTTTTTAAAAATTACCCCTTTACCATAAGGTGAGCCACCCTAATGTATGTGTGGTATGATTGTGCGAAGGGAACAAGTGCGAAATTAAGCAATGCATGGGGATGCCAAAACAGGAGGTGAGGTAGAGGTAAAGGGAACAGGAGAAGAGGTAGAGATGAAGAACAGGAAACGGAAAAGTGGAAGTGAGTAAGCAAATTTCGACATGTGTGTGGGTGAAAAAATGAGTCTGGAACGTGTGTGTGTGTGTGTGCAAGTTAAGTCAATGTAAAGGTGTCTCTCCTTGTTGTCCTTGTATTTGCTGTTGTTGCTACTTTTGTTGCCAAAACTTTGCGGCAGTTGCAGTTGTTGTTTTTCTTTTTGCCGCTGCGGAAGCAGCAATGCAAATTGTTGAATAATGTCAAGTGAAATTGCATTTTTGTGTGTAAGCGAGCGAGCGCCACGTTTGGGGGAGGGGGGATAAAGGCTGTTATGGAAAACTGTTGGAAAATTGCTGGCATACGCATAAGTAATGTCTTCTCTTTCTGCACATTTTCTCTTTCGCTCTTTCTCTCTCTCACTCGCAGTGGTACACAAAGCGGAGTAGGTGCTAAAACTGCAAGTGGAGTAGTAATTAGAAAAAAATAAAACAAAACAAAGCCGGATTTCGTTGGCAGCGAGTTCTCAGTCGTCGTCGACGTAGCTGCCAGCAACTGCAAGCAGCGTTTTATAGTTGGTTACAAACAGTTGAACAAAGTTTAAAAAGTTAAGGATAATAATAGGGAAACCCGAAAAAATAAAACTAAATTTTACTAATTTCTCATCTAATAATATTTGCTATATTTTTAAATTTATCTAAAAATGGATGAAAAGATATCTCTCAGATTAACATTTTGTAAAGAAATTAAAGCATATTATTTTTTATTTAATCAAGAAACAGACTAATATAACTAACTTAGATTATAGTTGATTAAATGTTTTATTAAGCCCTAAAAACAAATATTAAACCAAAATTTAGGAGCTCCTGGGTTATTTATGACAGCAATCAAAAAGGATAATTGCTTAACTAATGCAACGGGTGCCTCGTAGAGTGGTTTTTCCTATAGGCATAATCGATTTACCCGAGCTGCAAGCAGACATATATAAAATAAATATATTTCGCTGTGAGTTTCCAGGCAAAGTTGGTGGGAGATCTGCGAACTGCTGCCGGAGTGAAGTGTGGTAAAAGGGCAACGACAAGAAGGATGTGCACACAAATACACACAGGGGCCAAAAAGGTGGGGGAGAAGGGGAAACAAGAGCAGAAGTTGGAGGAGGAAGAGTAGGAGGAGCCAGGAGAAGCTGGAGTAGAAGGTGCATCCAAGAGGCGACGTGGCGGCAGCAGACAAAAGCAAAGCCTGGTGCTGTCGAACGCAGCTTGATACGAAGAGGGGGTTTTCGAGGGGGGGGGGTCCAGGAAGAGGCTTCAGGGGGAGAAGGAGCAGAAACTTGCCGGAACAGGCAGCCGAAAAGAGAGACGCGGCGACACGGAGAAGCGTGTGCCAACTACAACAACCAGGATTACAATTCAAACTTGCTCGTCAGCCTCTGCTGCCAGGGCCGTGGGCTACCAAGAGAGGAGTCCGGGGCAGACAAAAGGAGTGAACGGAGGATGAAGGGCAAGAGGTGGGAGCAAGCGGAGCAACCGAGAGCCAGAGCAGACGACGATGATGTCGTGCCAGAGGAGTCAGAGTCCAGAGTCACAGTCACAGAGAGGCAGCGCGAAAGTCCCCCTTAGCAACTCCTTGCTACGGCCATGCAGCCCTCCTGCCCTCTTAGCCATAAGCTCCTCCTCATCTACAAGCTCTTTTTGGCCTGGTTGAAAGCGTAGCTGCAGTTTTTGCCAAAGAATACACATTGCATATATACAAATAAAAAAATAAAAAAATATGTGCGGAAGAAAAAATGTATAAGTACACGCGTGTGTTTTCTGTGTGTATGTTTTGTGTTTGTGTTTTTCAGGGCAGAAAGAGCCTGAAACAGAGCATTTTTGGAGCAGGAAGAAAAGGAACCTGCGGCCAGCGGCTAAAGACAGTGAAAGCTGTTCTTGAAAAAAGTAAAAAATACACCTTTAATATTTAACTAGATACAAATTTAATGAATATTTGTATTAAAAATACCTTTAAATACCTTATAATAAAAGGAAATTAATTTATATAATTAAATTCTCCTCTTGACAGTCTTCACTGTATTTAAAGTAAACGACAAAGGAACCCCAAAAAGCCGAAGCCAACAAGGTTCCTGCTTTTTTTTTTTTTTTTTTTTTTTGTTAATTTTTATCAGCGGCTCCACAAATGAGCTTGGAGAAAAAAAAAAAGGAGAGCGATCCAAAGGAGTGAGGAGAATCCAGAAAAAATAGAAGGGACACCACGAGAAGTTCCTCAAAGTCAGCTTAATTGGCACGGCGCAGCTTTTTGCAGCTGATTGCGATTGTGTGAGTGTGCGTTGTTTTGCGTTGTCCCCACTGTCTCAATCTCTTTTTTTACTATTGCTTCCCTTTTTTAGGGTTTTTAGGGAGACAGAAGTTAGAGCTTGGCACGTTTCACTGTGATTAGTTGGGGCCAAAGGGACCGCAAAGCGGTCAACAAAAAGGCTAAAAGAGGGGTGTATTCAGTGCGACACTGGTAGAAAATATTTTTAGAGCTTTGAAGGTTTAACTTTTAAGAGAAATATGTAAATCAATCAGATATTAGTTTTGTTTCGAGTTTAGACCTTCCCCCCTTAGTGTTTAATAATCTCTTTTAAAAGCTGCATACAATTTTCAAGTCTTACTTTATTGGCCCTGAAAACACAGGATTTAGGGACTTAATCCCCTCCAGACGTCAGCGTAATTGACCCTTCGGGCCCTGTTGCCAATTACTGAAGGCAACTCCTCCTGTAAATTACTTACTAATCCCCCCAAGTAGAGGAAATGGATTAAAAAACATAGTGAAACTTGTGCTGCCAAATTAAGAGACTTGGGGAAAAAGCCCAAACGGATGTCGCTGCTGTCGCTGTTCGGTTAATCGATGAGATATGTATCTTTATGAGTGGTTGAGTTGTGCTGCTGCTGTGGGGCAGCAACACTATATCTCGAGTGAATCTAATGAGCAGCGAGGTGCCACGCCCACGCATCCGACAGATACATTTGCAACGAAACCAACGGCAACGACAGCGGCGACGGCGACAGCTCATCCAAAGTTGAGCCATGCAAATTACAACAATTTCCCGTACGTCGCACAGAAATAGATACAGAATATGTCTGTATCTGTATCTGTATCTCTCCGAGTCCGCACTGGCACTTGACTATGTATCTATAGCCGTAGATATCCCTGTATCTGCAGCTGTACCACAGACCAGCAAATGTATCTGCGGCTGCTTGGCACGCAGCAAACGGTCTAATGTATCTCGCAGATGCGAATGGCGAATGGCGAACTGCAAACTGCGAGATGCGAGCTGCGAGCTATGAGCTGCTAGAGCTGGTGACAGCGTCTCAGCAGCATTTGTATAATTTGCACAATGCTGCCTGCCTGCCAGCCTGCCACAAGGAAAATGCTCGCTGCGCAGGCTACAGATACAACAGTTGCAGACGACAAACACACACAGACGCATAGTGCACACACATCACATGAGCTGTTGCGGAGCACACAAAAGCGACATTGCAAAGTTTTCGCTGCAGCCAAAAGGGCAGGGAGCTGGGAGGGACGTGGGAGGAGGCTCCAATTGGCAAGACGACAGAGAAGAAGACCACTCTGAGCTCGCGCTTCATGCAAACACAAATGCCCAGGTCCAGGCCCAGACCCAGGCCATCTTACATTGGTCAGCACGGCAACTGTTCCGCCCGCTTTGTATTTCCAATAAATAAATAAAAATATTGACAGGAGCTACACGGCAAACAATTTCTAGCAGTTTAAGCATTTAATGTACCAATATTTCTTATACATT